CGAGATGGAGACCAGTACAGAAGAGGATAAGTCCTGTAAAATTAAGAGATTTTGTTGAATTTTAATTTTGTGATTGTAAATTCTGTACATTTCATTAAGTTATTGTTAATTATCTATTGGTTTAATGTAAGTGGCTATTGTTCAAGATGAACAATACTAAGGAAGAGACAGTGTTACGACAGCGGAGGTCATGTGACTCTGGTAACACGTGATAAGTGTCTAGAAGGTTCATGAAGAGGCGAGTGCATTCTAGACGCCCTCTATTTTTGTATATAAGCACGGAAAATAAAGCGAGATAATTAATTGGATTGCAGATAGAGAGATTGAAGATATAGATACAGATAATCGAGTCAAGTCGCAAGTAAAGTGCGTGAATCGTTGTGAATTCTGGCGTGTGTTGAAGTTAAAGTGACTGTGGAAATTAAGTGTATTGCAAAGTTGTATTGAGAAAGAATAAACTAGTTTTATTTAAGAAAGGACTTGTATCGCTGAAGTTCTTCGGAAAGATTTTTTACGGGAAATCATCAAACGAGCGAATACATAACAATACTATACTGTTATAGTTAGTTTTCCATGTGACTGTGAAACTTCAGTTGACACTAACTTTGTGACAAATCATTATCACTGTGTCAGGGCACGTTACCAGTTGATACTGAACAAAAGAAGCAATAGTATTTACGAATTAAAACAAGTACAAATACAAAATTACCTTTACAAAAGGTAGTAAACAATACTGAATTGCATTAATATTTCCTAAAATATATTGTTTAAGACAAGCAATTTTTGAGAAGGATGTAGCTTGACGATGAAATTTGAACGATTGTCTCGCTTACTTCACACGTATATTTACTACCCGGATGAAATTTCGCGGTACGGCGGTTCTGTCATTGTTTTGGCAGATATTTGCTATTCAGTTCAAGCAATAGCACGTGAAAAGTGTGATGGGTAAAACAGAATTTGGTGTATAATATGAATAATTACCCAACAAGTCAAGAATTTCATGAAATTTTAGGTATTAAAGAAGTAATAAACAGGGGGTTAAGTTTCAACTTAAAGCTCTAGAGTTTAGAAAGGATTTTTGCTTAAAAACGTAGGCTATATTATATATATATATAACATATCGTTGTTATTATTATTAACTAAGCTATTGAAGTTCGTTTCTGATATTTTCAAGTTACTTGAAATATTAATATTATTAAACTTAACCGTAACTTAGGCATAAGTTAAAGTTAAACTGTGAGTATGAGTAGGACCAATTGAATAAAATTAAAACCAGGTTTTATTTGTTGTAATACAACTTGCAAGTGAGTAAAACGTTAAGTGTAACTACTGAGTAATAGTAATACTATTATTCTTGTACTCTTGAATTAAAATTTTATAAAATCAAACAGTATTATCACACAAGTTACCGATATACAGTGTTAGTGTTAAATACGCATTCTACAGTAATTTAGCATAAAACGTAGTACAACAACATGTAAACTTCCACTCCAGTAAGTATCCCAAACAACGAAGAATGGTTCATTGATCCATGTTAATGCTATTGTTACTTATCTGTATTCAAAAATGAGACCAACATTCTACATTTTTGAGTATATAGATTAAAAGCTTAAGAGTCCAAATGTATGTATTTAGTTTTCAAAATGCACATTTTCTCTCCATCATGGGTTTCCATATGTCAAACTATTAGTATGTATTAGTAATTATATCTTCAGAATACAGTGTAATTATATTTTACAAATTTATGCCTAAGGCCTCCACCCTGATAGAAAAATAACACTCAGGATGTCAAACTTCTATAATACCAGCCCACCTTCACCTTTAAGGTGAAACTTGTTTCTTCATAGAAGACAGTTTACTTTGACTGTACTACTCTCCAACAAGACATGTTGAGAAGTTTAAATTCACTGCAATGATTGGAGATTTGGATGACTGTAGAAAATCAAGAGAGTTAGTCAAATGGGAAATTGAATATCAAAAACTGTATGAACAAAGGCTGGCTAAAAATGTAAAATAAATAGTAAGGATTTCTGCAAATACATTAACAGTAAACATAATATTAGGATGAGAGTAGGGCCTTTGAGGAATGATACCAGAAGGCTAATATCTGATGGTTATTGGAGGGCTGGTTTATTAAATTTTACTTATTTTTTCAGTTTTTATTAATGAAATTTTAAGCAATATTCCTTATCCTGAACAGTTGATAGATGGAAACAAGATGATCACACTAATTCTGAAATTTTTAAGAAATAATTGGGAAGTTTAAAGAATGATAAAAAAAACTGATGCAGATAATGTTTACCCAAGGGTTTTGAAAGAGGCTAAGAGTGGATATGTGAGCCATTTGCTAATATTTTCCCTTAGTTCTTGAATGGTGGGCAGGTGCCAGAGATTAGAATATTACTCCTCTTTTCAAGGAAAGTGACAAAAATTGTCCTAGTAATTATAAATCTAATAGTCTTACATCATTGGTGGAAAACGTTTGTCAGTCTGATAAAAAAAATGCTATGTAAAGTCATCTAACAAAGCTTTAAATTTTGTTGGATAGCCAGTATTGTTTCGCAATGGGAAAACCTTGCTTTACTAATCTTTTGAGATTCTTTGAAGAGAGTACAGGTATATATTTGGTGTATCTGGATTTTAAGAAAGCATTTGACAAGGTGCCACATAAAAGGTTTGTTGAAATAAATGATCTTTGTAAGTTTAAGGGATAGGTTGGCTCATTGGCTAGAAGAAAGCATAGGGTTGTTACAAATGGAGTGTAGTCAAATTGGATTAATGACATTGATGAAGGAATTATCAATAGATTATTTAAATTTGTTGATGATATTAAGGATTTGGGTGTTACTGGCTGTGAGAATGCTGTTGCTGCTTTGTTAAAGACTTTGGATTATTTGGTGAGTTGAACAAATAAATGGCAGAATGATTTTAGTTATATTAAATACATGTGGGATATAATTTAAATTATGTGTATAATTTTGATGAAAATAACCTTAATAGTGTCATGAAAGAAAGAGATGTTGGTGTAATAGTTGATCAGTTTTTAAGCCACCCAAACAGTTCTTACAAATGCTTTTAAGATGAAAGAATCACACTTTTCTGTGCAACTTAGAACTATATAAAAGCCCATTCTCAGCAGCAACAGTTTCAACTGTGAACTTTCTTGCCCATATGTATGTGTATCAGCTTGCAGTTAAACATTTGAAGTCTAAAATTATTTGTAGAATTAAGTCAGTTTGGACTTCCTTCACAACATTTCACTATTTTTTGGAGATTAAAATTTGCTTATCTTTTCTATGATGTTCAATTTTATTACAAAAAAGTGCATATGTACATTTTTTAATGAAAAAATGTACTAAAAGTTCCAAGATGTTATGCACTTTTCTTAGCTGGCATGACAACCTTGAGCCCTGGATTTTGGGAAAAGTGTTTTGAAAACTATTATGGGGTTCAAATTGGTTAAGCTAGTACTTAAAGCTAAAATCTAGAGTTTGTGTGTTGTATAAGTAAGATATACTCTCTGATTTCTTTATTTCTTAAATTAACAGTATTAGTTAGAATATATGAAAGAATATCTATTTTATTATTTTTGATTATTTGACTTTTATCATAGGGATTGTTTTGCATTGTTGATTTATTATATATATTGGTAGGGCTAATCCAAATCTCCTAAGCTGACTGTACCTTGTGAATATTATTGGGTTTATGGAAGAAAATATACTGAACAGTAATCAACTGATAAAAGAATGCATTCTAATCTTTATAAGTATGAATGCAATATAAGTATATTTATTTTAGTTATAATCTTTACTGGGTTGATTTTTAGTTTTGCTGTAAGTAGATAGCTTTCTCTGATTGAAAGTTAATCTTACAATAATATAATCTGAGAAAATGGATGTCTGATGTTGCACTTAGTTGAGCCAATTTTCTCTCGTGCTGTGTTTAGGGAACATTCATTTCATCAGTAAACAAATTATCTTGAAGGTGCAAGTATTGAAAATGTGTACAAAGATGGTTTGTAAATAACTTTTCCAATATGAGTTTAATAGTTCTTAGTTTTAGACTGTAGCTTGAAGTATCACTTTAAATATTTTGTAGAATTTTGACCTGTTCTACTAGCATGAAAAGGAATATGTCCATCCATTGTGTACGAGTATAAAGAAGAAGAGAAAAGAAATATGTATAAATGTTAGGCATACTAACAATGACTTCTGGATGCATGTTAACTTCTATGTGTACATATTAAAATATAACTAAAAGCCTTTTTTATACTGCAAAATTTTTAAATCCTTATTTTCTTGTAATGATCTAGCATCAAAATGATTTTTCAAAAGCCAATTTTTAGAGTATTGTTTGTCATTTTATGTTATAAAAAAGTTACATTTTTATATTATGCAGAAAAGGCAGATGCAATAAGTTTGTTTTAACATGTTTTGTTTTTGAATAGGTTTGATGTATAGTTTTCTTAAATGTTTACAAATTTAATTTGAGTTCTGTTAATAAGTATGAAATGTCAGTGACTAATTGAGACTTTTGATAGGGGAGTGAGTATTCATACAATCAACATCACAAGAGATTTTTTTTTTTTAGTTTTAAGATAACTTAGACAAAGCATTATCTTAGTGGCCAGATATTTAATTTTGTGTGGTTAGATACAAATGCAAAATGAGTGAAGTACCATAACTATATGTACTTTGTTGTGCTTAATTAATAATTAACTACCAGTGTAAGAATTTGGATTCCCAACAATAATATTAACATCATGAATTTAGAATAATTTGATCACAATTTTTACATATCTAGTGTACTTCAAACATAAGGTTCCATATTTTTTTTATATTTAACTTGTTTATTTCTGCCCTTCTTGATATTAAATCAAATCCCCTTAGACCCTTCTCCTCTCCAGAAAAAACAAGTTTAGAGATTTTAGTCTCTCCTCATAAGACAATCCCACCACCCCAGGTATCATTTTAGTGGCTCTTCTCTGAACATTCTCCAACAATTCAATGTCCTTCTTGAGAAATGGTGCCCAAAACTATACACACTACTCTAAATGAGGCCTTGCAAGTGATCTATACAGTGAAACAATAATATCCATTGTCTGGATGCTATCCAAAATCCTATTAGCCCTATTGCTAGCTATAATACGCTGGTTAGATGACTTAAGTGATTTTTTTATCACAACACCAAGATCGTTTTCTTCAACCACAATATTTAAGGTATTCCCATTTAAATTGGAACAATAATTTGAATTGTGAAAACCTACATGCATCTCCTTACATATTGGATAGTTAAACATCATCTGCCACGTATTAGTCCAGTGCATCAAATGATCTAAATCTCCCTGTAAGTCTGCAGCATCTTTGACACAGTTAACCACCCCAAAAATCTTAATGTCAGCTGCAAACTTCAAAATTTTGTTAGTCATTCCAGAGTCAGTATCATTAATATAAATCACAAACAGCAGATGACCCAGCACAGAGCCCTTAGGCAGACCGCTTGTAATTGTGATCCAGTCAGATCTAACTCAATTTATTACTACTCTGCTTTCTACTCCCAGCCAATTTTCTATCCAATTTAATAACATTTCCCTCATACCCACAAATTTGATTTTTCTAAGAAGTCTTTTGTGAGGCATGTTATCAAATGCTTTGAATCAAGGTAAGCCATATCCATTGTATTTCCTTCTTCAGCTCTTGCAATAACATCTTCAAAGAATATCAGAAGATTTGTTAAACAAGACTTTTCCTTAGTGAAACCATGCTGGCTCTTTGACACTATGTCAAACTGCTTTAAGTAACTCTGCAATGCATTTGTAATCATACTCTCCAAAACCTTTCCAACTAACTGACCTATAATTGACTGGACAATGTTTGTCATCTCCTTTAAATATTGGACTAACATTA